CGGAGAAGAGCCTGATCCAGCCCTCAGCAGCATTGGCCTGGGCAAGTGGCTGGCAGAGTGGTGAGGAGATGGTAAGCCCAGGCATCTCACTTCCCCTGAGGGCAAGCCACTCGGTGCCTTGGCTCTCTCAGGCCCTTTGGACTGGCAGGCTGCCCAGGGGGCTTTGCAGCCTTTGCCCTGCGTGGTGCTGGCTGCAGCCCCGAGAGCAGGCGAGTGGCAGATGCTGCAAGGGGGACATTTCAATGGGGAAGCAAGACCAGCCGTAGACAGGGCGGTGGTGAAATGCCAAAGGGAGCACCTGGCAGCCTTCAGAGAAGGGAAGCTCCTCACGTCCTCTCTCTGGGTAGCCCCTGTCCTACGTGCTGAAGGCTTGGCTCGTTGCCCACCTCCCCTTCTCCCATCGCATTTCCAAGGTTCTTACATGAGGCAAGGCGAGTCTCTGCTCCAGACTGACACAGTCTAAATATAGCCATGTGCGTGTTGGAGAAGAGCATGCAGGGGTGGGGAGACAAGGGCAAATGCAGTGGGGACAGGAGTGAATGCAGCTGGACGGGCTTGTTTTCAGGCCATGGGTCAGCGGGGGGGGGGGGGCAAGGGTGGGTACAGAAGCTGCAGGCTCTGGGCAAGGGTGTGGGGTGCAAGCGTCCCTCCCTGCATTCCACGAAAGGGCCATTGTGTGGATGCTGTCCTTGCTCTCTGTTTTGAGGGGTAACTGTATTCCCACAGTTGGGGAGCACCATCTGGTGTGCACACTTATGGTGGGGGGGGCCCCTGGGGGAAGCCACAAACAAGATAGACAGCAGGGGCAGAGCAGGGGACATGTTTCTCTTGTATGCCCCCATGACTCCCTGCAGCTGCCCCTCTCCTTCAGTCCCTCCTCAAAACTCAGCTTTGCTCTGAGGTGGCAGAATTAATCTGCAGGCAACATACTTGATGCTGGCTCTGCTCTTGAGAGTGAATGCACCTGGAATATGTGACTTGAAGAGGGGGAGGACAAGGCTTGGGGTCTCCTCCACAGGAAAAATGCAGAGTGGTGGTTTGTCTGGACTGAGGCTTGCGAGTGCCCCCAGCCCCACATTGCTCCACCATCAAGGGCAGCTGTTCAGAGGATCCCCTGCCCCACCATCTTTCCATTCAGTACTTCAGACATTTTCCTGGGCAAACCAGAGCACTGACCACACACTGGCCAGATCCCTTCCTGCACGGAGTCCCTGTCCTCTGCTCCCAGCCAAGCCCACCAGCTCTCCTGTCCCAGAGGGGCCCTTCCCTCCTCTGCCTGGGGAAACCGGAGCCCTGCCTGGCTGCTGCCATGGCTGCAAAAGTTGTTTGTCCAGTGTTGACCACCCTGGGTGAGAGCCATGGAGCCCTCCGAGCAGGCCGTGCGGGGCCGGCATTCTCGGCATGGCTCCCATTCCTTTCAGATCAAGGTTCTAACTGGCTGCACCAGGGAAGGCAACACGACACCCTGGCAGAAGGCAGGCAGAAGGCTGGGGCCAGCTGGCCTGGGGACCCTCAGGGGGCTGCTGCTGTTGAGTGCCCCTGGAGGCTGCCTGCCCTCACTGGGAAGGTGGGGAATGTGCGGGTGCTTCTGGTTCCAGGCTCCCAGCTCCCCAGTGCTGCCACACCTTCCAGGGTGCTTCCTTCCCTGGTGTGCTTTCCCATGGGGCTTCCTCTGGGCCCTGGACTTGATTGGCTCAAGCATGGGCCTCAGTTGGGTTTCTGCTGATTCCCCTGACAGGACGTGCCTCCCGGCTGGGTCTGGGAAGGATTCAGCATGGCTTGTGCCTACAATCGGCAGGAGATATGGAAAAAATGACTTTTAGGAATTCTACTCTACCTTGTGTTTCACACATAAAGAGATGACCTCAAACACACCAACCAAAACATTAACCATGGGGCTGGAGTGGCTGCTCCCACAAGCTGGAGGTCCTCACCCCTCCCTTGCCTTGTCTCCTTGCCGCGGCAGCCAGCAAGCATCTTGGCCACTGGCACGGTGCCTGTGGAGGGCATGCACAGCCTAGCCCAGCCCTTCAGGGGACATGCTTCCCTCTTATCCTGTCCAGCTCTGTCTCTTTCTAGACAGAGCTCCCTCCTTTTGTATGCGTTTTCTTTGGGGCTGTGGCCATTCTGGCACGCATTCTATATCTGGACCTCTGCACCTTCCAGGGTCTCTATCTTACAATGGGATCCTATGTCTACCTTCTGCTCAATCATTCTGGGAAAAACCAAGTTGTACCGGGAGCGGGGGGCTTTGCCTTACGCCTTCTCCTCCTCCCATCTCCTGGGTGAGCATGTCAGAGATGTGAGATCTGGTTTGCAATGCGTTTACACCTTCAGTATTGCTTTTCTCATCTTGGGAAGAAGCCAGCTTTATGGAGAGAGAGCCTGCCAAAAAGGGTCAGGAGAAATGAGAGAGTGTCAACCCAAGAACATAAAAAGAGCCCACCTGATTATGGACTACGCATCCTGTTTCTCACAACAGTCAGCCAGAAATAGCCCCCTCCTGCTGCTCCCAAGTGGATTGCACTGTGCTTTCAACATACCAAAATAGATCCTATGTCCCCAGCAGTTGTGGTAGCAGGTGAATTGTGGCATGTATTTTCATGTTAACTGCAGTTTGATACATTTTCCCATTCAAAATTAAGGGTTTTAAAATTAAATTTAGGTTGACATGAGAACATTTGTTTGGCAGGCTTGGATAGGCAGGCTGATTTTTACTTTTGATCAGCTTGTTGGCCCTGACAATATTTTTTCTGCCATTTCTGTATATAAATTGAAAGTTGTATGGCAATACATGCAGCTGCATTGTCAAAATCCAGGTTTGCCTTTACAGATTCAGAGCTGCCTGTGTTATTAGAAGTATTGGCTGAGGCTGAGCAGTTACAGTGGCCTGCAATTCATGTCTATAATTATTGATTATTGGTGATTAAGTAAGATACCCAAAGTCTTAAACAGGAATGGAATAATATACTGGAACAACCATCATGCCCAGTCAATGGAATGCGCTCCCCAGAGAGGTCCGCCTGGCACCGTCGTTATTTGTTTTTTGGCGCCAGGCGAAGACCTTTTTATTCAAGCGTCATTTTAATTGTTAATGTTATTTTTAAAGTTTTTTGGCCAGGGCGACTTATTTTATACAGTTATGTGTATTTTATATTGTTATTTATGTATTTTATTTATTTGTAAGCTGCCCCAAGGCTTCGTTGAATGGGGTGGCCTAGAAATTTTCTAAATAAATAAATAAATAAATAAATCCTCCTCATCAATTAGCATTATTATTACAAGGTCATGGATCTTAGGCTATGCTTAACTCAGCAAAAAGTGATGTTTTTATACAACAACTCTTTGATAAGGGCTTAACAGGTAGCCTTTGGGTTGGACAAATTGGGGCACGATTGTTGACATCCGTGCATACTTATGTTTAACAAGGGTAACATGTTCTGTCATAAACTAACCTACAGAGATATATGATGTGTATGTAACTATATGTATACGATGGATCTTTTAAAATTTTATTCAAAAATTGGAGCCCAATTCTTATGGCAGCCTTGCAAGAGTCTCCAGCTTGCTCAATATGGTTCATGACACTCCATCAAGAACAAGATGCCTCTCCAACAGCCTATATCCTCTGTAGAATATTCAGTACCTATCTGTCTTCTGGGCTCAGAACTGATCCACCGAAGATCAGACTGAGAAGAAATAGGAGGTCCTGTTGGTGGGCAGTTCATCTGTCCAGCGAGGGCAACTGGCTTTGGCGGGGTGGCACTCCCACCAAAGTGCCAGGCTTTAGCATCTAAAAGTGCAGATACTGGTACAGGACTCAGTGGTGCAGATGGAGCACCAAAAGTGCCTCCCACCAATGCCCCTGCAGCCTGCTTTTCTCCACGGATCACTTGCTAGGTTATTTTCGAATTTTCTGATTACTTAAGACAATCAACCTATTGGAAGCTCCTTTGACAGGAGCGGTGTATTTGGCTTTGGAAGCAAGGAGCTAGATCTGATGATCCGGAAGGACACCTACTGACTGCTTAAAGTGGCTGCTATCTTAGTCGTTTCCCTTTAGATCAGGAGCAGGGAGAGGGGACCCAGTGCCCCTGTGGCGAGTTAGTTAACAGCTACAAAATTTCTACTGGGGATCCTTGGGAGGAAGGAAAGCTCGGTTAGACAGACGGACTGGAGCCGGGAGCGTCTGAGCAACGGTACCTCTCCCGTCCTCCTTCCTTTGGAATTCTGGCACCACTTTTCTGGTCCCTTAAGTCCTCTGCAGCTGTGTCAGCCTCAAGAAGCCCACGGGGCTCGTTTGACCCTTCCTGGGAGGCTGGTGCGCGGTGGGCATCTAGACCACAGCACTTCGGTTGAACTATCGGGATGATTTTAAAGGGGGGGGGGGGACGTCCAAATCCATGGAGAAGCGATCGATGGCTGATGATCGCATTGTCTCCAGCGGGAGGGGAAGGCCGGCTCTGTGCGCGTTGCTGGGGATCGTGGGCAGAGGGCGCTGTCGCGCTTCTGTCCCGCACATGGGCTTCCTACGGGGCAGCCCGCTCATGCAGGGCACCCCAGTGGGTCCGAACGGCTCGGGCGTCGCGTTGATGAGCCTCCCTCGCTTGCCGGAAGGCCCGTAGTGCGGGCGCCGCCTGCGCGACTCTTCCCAAGCCGAGTCCGCCTCCAGCTGCGCGGCCCTGGGCGAGGGAGAAAGGCAGCCGCGGCCGGTGCTTGCGGCCCCAAAGTACCGCGGGCAGCTCGGTTGGGTTGCAGGAGCTTAAGGACGACCGCGCAAGCTACGTTTTAAGAGCGTGCTTGCAGACGGAGGAGGAGCGCAGGCGCCGCGGCGCAGCTCCGCATCCGGGTCCGCCGCCGGCGCGACTCGCACCGCGCGTGGAAGAGCGCAGGGCGGGCAGCGGGGCCGCTCTAGCCGGCGCGCGGCTCCGGCTCGCCCTCCCCAGCGACGCTCTGGGCTCGCGCCGCCCGCACTTCCTGTTTCCGGCCGGCCCGCCCGCGCGTCCTGGCCTTCGCGATGTCCACTGTGCGTGGCCTACGCGTGTCGGTGAAGGCGGCCGAGCCGGAACCCATGGAGGTGGAGGAGGGGGAGCTGCTCCTGCAGGCCGGACCCCCCGCCGAGCCCGTCAGTGAGGGCCCCGTCGGGCGCGAGCACGAGGCCCCCGCGGAGCTGGCCGGACCGGGGAGGCGCGCGCTCCGAGAGCTGCTGCCGGTAACGCGGCCGGGACGCGGGGTGGCGGGGGAGGTCTCGGTTCGCTTCCCTTCGATGCGGTGGAAAGGGCCTCCCGGGCACCTGGAGGGAGGAACACTGTCTCCTGGACACATGCTGGAAAGTACTCACGAGCCCCGTCCGTCCCCAGTAAAAGGCGTGTCTCCACGGGGAGAGGAGGAGGTAGTCCGGTCCTCTCTCCGAGGGGCTCCCGAGGCGCTTGCCTTCCAGCCCTTGCTCCTTGGATAACTTGGTGGGTTGGGAGGCCCCAGGCCTGCAGTACAAGCTCAGAGAGCCCACAGTAACCATGATGGTGCCCGTGACAGAGCAAGGCTTGACCAGGGTGGGCAGTTCTGTTTTGTGAAGCTTTCGTTGCGATTTTGATGCACTCCAGGTGCCGTTGGAAAGGCTGTGACCCGTTAGGAGTCACCTCAAGCCTCCATTTGTTCTCAGACCAGGATGGGAAAACAGCTTCTCTAGAAAAACAGATAACCAGGAGAGTGTGGGGGAACTGGCCTTATGAACTACAGCCACAATGTGTGTAGTTAGTTTGGACTATCAGGGTAGGAGTCTGGACAAGTGGCTGCATTAGGGGTGAACATCTGGGACTGTGGCTAGGATGGGGTAGGGGGCTGGCCTTGATTGATGCACAGCCTCCTTTCTGAAGTGCTTAGCGGATCTAATCTTTCACATCTTGAGCTGTACGGTTTGTGAGCTCTTGCGTAATGTTTGCTTGCAACTTCCATTTTTAGTTGGGTAGGCTGCAGAAGGGACACCACTAGTTTGGTTGTTGGTTTGCAAAATGCTTTATTTACTGATTGGCTTTTATTTCAGGATACCAGCAGAAGATATGAAAACAAAGCTGGGAGCTTCATCACTGGAATAGATGTTACTTCAAAGGTATTCAGCACATCCTTTCTGCTGTTGGTTTCATTGGTGACAGTGGGTAGCTGGGAGAGGAGGCTGTATCTAAGCATGATACAGGGTGCCTGAATGCCTCACCATTTGATGGCATGAGCAGTCATAGTTGGAAGCCACAGAGTAAGGGGCTTTTCACTCCAATTAATCCATAGCACCTGAAGCACCTCATATTGTAAGATGAGAAAGGGAATCAGCCCTCCTGTGTTGAAACTTGTGCTTCCAAGGAAGAGCCACGCCTCTTTCAGATCTTGCAGTACAGCCAGAATCATGCTGAGTTTGAGCAAGCCATGGACAAGGGTCCATGCAGCCCCTTGTTACTGCACCTTTCCTGCTCCACTCTCCTCCAGTTTATCAGGTGACAGAGGCAAGAATTCTCCATTTTCAATCTCAAACACTGGACAGGAATCCTGTGTAGCCATGTGCCTGTTACTGAGGTTCTGATGTGATTGTCTGGAAATGCAGCCTCCTGCATTTTCATTCCAATGTATTAATGGATTGCTTTGAGCCCTCTGTTTTATTGCTGCTTATCCTAAATTTGCTCTGGATCTTAATATGCCCCAGTGCTTGCTTAATTCTGACTTTGGATTTCATCACCTGATTCTGTTGCAAGAGACCGCAGTTTCCAGGCTGCCTAGGAGACTTGAGGGGAAGGAGCAGCCTGCCATTTCTGTTAGACTGCATGAAGCACCAGACCATAATTTCTGTTATTGTTCTGTACTAGCTGGTGTTCCAATATTTCTTCACATTGTAAAAGAAATGGTGGCATGGATTGGGTCTCTGCTCCTTGCAAATTGGCCAGGGCCAGCTGTCTTGATTTCCAGTTTGCTTGAAGAACAGTTGTAAGCTTATTTACCTTTGGGTACCTTCGCTTTTTGTAGGAAGCAATTGAGAAGAAGGAGCAAAGAGCAAAACGCTTTCATTTTCGTGCAGAGGTGAATCTTGCTCAAAGAAATGTGGCATTGGACCGGGATATGATGAAGAAAGGTACTGAGAGTTGCATGTTGCTGAACAAGTGACTTTAATAATAAAAGGACTGTCCATTTGCATTTGGCTGTACAGAACTGCCAGTGTTTTGATGCCACTGCCGTACCAAACAATTGCACACATTACCATTTTTTCCCCTTGGGGTTTCCTGTTGGCAAAACAAAATGTTTTTACTTGAAAAAAGGACCACTGGTGGAAAAGACTCAATTTTCAATAAGTCAGGAAATGACTGGTGGTATAAATATGAGATGCATTTTCCTGATCTCTTGCAGTAAGTGACTTTAGAGTAAATTGTATGAGACAAGCTGAAAAAGGTGTGGTGGATTGATTGGAACTTAGTTTCTGGCATTGTGGGGCATAACAGCTTTTTTTTCTTAGAATTCAGAAATAAACATAAAATTTGGAGAAAATGGGAATGTATGCACATACTCTTTTCAATTTTGCACTTTTACTTTCTTGTTTAACAGTGTAAAATACTCTACATATAACTTAGCACATTACATTGCTATAGTTATTATATGTAGAAATATAGATTCATTAGTTTTATTCAAACAATAATAGCAGATGGACAGTAGTACCTTGGCTCATGAACTTAATCCGTTCCATGACTCTCGTCACGACCCAAATTGGTCGTGAGCCAAGTCAAATTTCACCATAAGGTTCAATGTAAATAAGGTTAATCCTTAATTTTATCACAAAAATTTGAAGCAAAGTGCCAAAGAACAACAAAGATTGTGGCCATCTTCCCCCCCCCCCCCCCCCCACCCTGACAACGTCCCCCCCCCCCCCCCCCCAAGCGCAATCGCGGGCATCTCCCCCCTCCTAGGGCAATCGCAGCTATCTCCCCCCGCCCCAGCACGATCGCGCCCATGTTCCCTGCACGAGTGAGACTGCGATCACAGCCATAGATAGGGAAGACGGGCCCAAGCACGATCACAGCCATCTCCCCCCCCCCCCNTCACCGCTTCATGGCGGGTGGCAAGACCCACTCGCAGCGTGGCAGGCGCCCTTGGCGCACATCGGGATGCGGCAGCTGGGGACTGGTGTCCTGCTTGCCATTCCTCTCCCGATTGCTGCCTTCCTCAAAGAAGCTGCGGGCTGTGGTTACTTCCACTAGAGCCCAAGATTTTCCCCAGCCAGAGATGGGAAGTTGATCCTGCAATTCCGCTCCTCCGCGTGCCTGGCTGGGTGCCTGCCGTGCTCCCGGCAGCTGATCCCTGGCCTGGCATTTTCCCTGAGCTCCCATGAAACCCGCAGGACCTCTTGCTGGGTCTCCTTCCCAGCATCGCTTCCATTGCTTTGCTCGCCCAGCGGAGAGCCGGGGGAGGGGGGAGCAGCATCTCCCAGGCCTCCTCCTGCCCCCCACCAGCGGAACAGGAGGGGTCTGGCAGTGGCCACTGGGGGCAAGTGGGTCCTGGGCCTTTGGCAGGGACCTGACCTGCTTCCCGGGATACCAGCCTACTTTGCAGGCAGTGACAGGCGGGGTCCCCCAGGGCTCTGTCCTGGGACCGATCCTGTTCAATCTTCCATTAACCACCTGGACAAAGGGGTGACCAGTGTGCTGATCAAATATACAGATGACACTAAAACGGGGCCAGTGGCCACAACTGAGGAGCAGGCACTCCAGATCCAGAAGTATCTGGACAGGCTGTGGAAGTGGGCAGGAGACAACGGGATGGCATTCAATGTGGATAAGTGCAAGGCCTGGCACTTGGGGCATAGGTACGGGTGTCATAAGTACAGGTTAGGGGACAAGTGGCTGGAGAGCAGCACCTGCGAAAGGGACCTTGGGGTGCTGGTCAACTGCAGGCTAAACATGAGCCAGCAGTGTGATGCGGTGGTGAAGAGGCCGAATGCCACCCTTGGATGCATAGCTGGAAGTGTGGCATCTGAATCGAGAGAGGTATTACTGGAACTCTATATGACTCTGGTGCACCCGTAACTTGAGTATTGAGTTCAGTTCTGGGCCCCTCATTTCAGGAAGGATATAGCCAGGTTGGAGTCAGTGCAGCGCAGGGCCATAAGGTTGGTGGCTGGTTTGCAGGGGAAGCCGAATGAGGCGAGACTGAGGGAACTGGGTCTCTTCAGGAGACTCAGAGGGGATCTGTTGGCGACACACCGGTATGTGAGGCGGTGTCACACGGGGGTGGGGAGAGACCTGTTCCCCCCTGCAGGGGAGGGCAGGACACACTCCCAGCGGAGCCAAGCACAGTGGACCAAGGTTCCATTTGGATGCCAGGAAGCGCGGCCCCGGACGCTCGCAGGGGCCTCTGGCACCCACCGAAGGGGGACGGGAGGAGCCCTCAGGGCGCATGCCAGGAGTATCTCCCCCTTCCAGCTCTCCCCATGTGCCACGAAGCCAGGCAGAAGCGCTTGGTGCTGGTGCTCTGGGCCCGACTCAGTGGGGGAACAGAATGCCTTCGGCAACCTCCCTGGCTGCAGAGCTCCTCAAGGGTCACATTCCACTTGAGCCCATGGCCAATTTCAGGCTACACAGAAAGGAACGTTCAGCACTGCCCTGGGGGACCTTCCCGCCACGGCCCCTGGAGCCCCGGCAGGATCCATGCGGCCCGTTTTGTGGCGCTCAGCCCAGCCCTGCTCCAGGCCGGGCTTCCTGGGGCTTCCCTGCCTTTCCATGCTCCCTGCCGCTGCTAGTCAGTCCCTTTCCTCCTCCTATTGTTCCACTTGCTCCTCTAGATCAACAACTGTTTCCGGAAATACTTATTTATGCAGGAAACTGCTCCCTCCATCAACGGCACTGCCAGCCACGCTATTCATCATGTCGTGGGATTCCTAGCAGAGCACGGTTGCTCCTTTTGCACTGGGAAACGGGCAGCTCTTTGGAGTTTCCCTTGCTGAGCTCTTTGCGGTGACACTTCCTCTGAGCGTCCCATCCCAACCCCGCACTCCCCCTCCTGCCCTGTTCCCCAAAGACGTTTCCGTGGCTGGCTCCCCCCGCAGAGAGCCGGGGAGGAGGGGGCAGCGGCATCTCCCAGGCCTGCTCCTCTCCCGCCACCTTCCCCTTTCCACCGCAGGGGCAGGATTGGTGCCCGGGAGCAGGCAGGTGGCAGTCCTTGCCGGGGGCCCAGTCACACTTGCCCTGGTGCCATTCGCATCCCCAGATGTAGGGAGAGGAGGGGCAGTGTTCTCAGAGTGTGTGGAATTTAGTGGGGGGGGGGAATTAAATGGAGTTTCAGAAAAGTGTTGCTAATTCGGGCTGCACAGCTACTCACATGAAATGGAGGCAAATTGCAGCCCCCCAAGGAGGACCACCCCCTGTGACGCCAGACCCTGGTCCAAGCTGCTGAGGGCAGGCATCGTCCAGAAGGGCTGCAGGGCCCCGCGCCCCCTCCCTCCGCTGCGCCCTTCCCACTCGTGGCGCCATGTGCAACCCCATGTGCCGTTTCAGGGTCTGTTCGCATTCATGCATGTTCCTGGCATACTCTGGATAAAAAGGTGCACCCCTAGAATATCACGTGTACGTTCTCCGTCTTCTCAACTCTGAACAAAGAAGCTTAGTGCTTGGTGCAATCATTCCGCTTTTATTCAGGAAGGAGCATTGAAG